AAGCTTCTTTCCCTCGGGCCACGCTGTAAGGATGATGTGATCAAACTTTGATAAATTCTGCCCATACAACTCACCCTCTGTGTTTCCCAATTCGGCATCTGGATGTTCAACCAAGTATGTACTAAGTGTAGCTAGGCCCACAGTCATTGGTGCTGTATAGACAGAACACTTTTAGAGTGTTTTTCTTGCCGTCATTCCCTAAACACTACAGAATACCATCTGCTCACATAGCGTTTGTATTGTACTAGGTACTCTAAGTAATCTAGAGATGATGCACAGAACATTGGAAGATATGCTGAGGGTCCATGGAGTCCTGAAACAAGCTTTCAACCAATCCCAAGGGTTTACTTAAGAAATGGCCTGGCTGGATTTTTTTTTTCCTCATGTGTCATGTGTGTAAGGAGTATCTTCTGGAAGTCCCATGTTTAATATGTCATCTTTCCATGAGTTATACTGTCATACATCTTGCTTAGTTTCTATGAGACTAAGTTTCTGTAACGTGTTTACAAATGTTCTCAACGTATCTTCTACAGGTGCGTACCCCAAACCACAGCTCTCAGGAGGCGGCTGTGCAAAGGCCAACCGTTTGAGGCCGGTTTGAGCCGTGGAACAAGGTTCAGTCTCACAAGAATGAGGACAGGGGATGTAGTTTAGTGGTGAAGCATTCCTAGCTGAATAAGACCCTGGGTTTGATTCCCAGCATACACATACATATACACACACAGACACACACATGCACGTACACATACACACACACACACACACACACACACACACACACACACACACACACCCATCCCTTAATACCCTATTCAAGAATATTACTTTTGGGTCATTACATAATTTGAGAATGTTTCCCAAACCTTTTACTTTGCCCGTAGTTTTTTTTGTTTATTTTCCTTAAAAAGAGTTTTGTTGCTGCTATTTTTTCAAGTGATGGAATTGTTCAGTCTCTTGGGATGGTTTCAGATGCTGTACTGTAGTTAACCGGGCTTTCCCTTTCCTCCCTGGCTATATAATATTCCCATTTATCTGTAAGCCGTGAAATAATAGAAATTGAAGGAATGTAAAACTCATGAAAACCTTTTTCCATTAGTTGATGCATTGTCAAATGCAAATGAATTTGACATTGAATGCAAGGGACAGGTTTCCAGGAAAGTATAAACTTCCAAAACTGACCCCGGGGAAGAAGGAGAATCCAAACCAATATAGTCCTGCAGAAGAGGTGGAGCTGTCAAAGAACAATCCACCACAGAAGCACTGGGCCCCAGGTATTCCACAGGGAATTCTAACACATCATTATGTAAAATAATAATAATAATAATAATAATAATAATAATAATAATAATAATAATTCCATGGCTTAGGAAAACCAGGAAACAGAGCAAAAGAAGGAAAATGTCCATTTTTACAATAGTAACTTACAATTTTAGCTACTTGACAGCAAAACCCAAAGATTGCAAGGTAGTTAACTTTTTAATAAGTATTTATCTTAAAATCTTAAAATAGAAAACACCAAAATAGTTACATAGCTAAGCAATGTCCTAGGCATGTGTAGAGCCAATAGAATGAATGTATATTTATTACAAAGGGGATTTACCTGACTGACTTACATGTGACAAGCGGGTCGTCCAACAGTGGCTGTCAGCACACTGGAAAGGCTAAGAATCTGGTAGCTGCTTAGTCTGAGACTGGGTGCCTCAGCAGTCTTGATGATATACCACAGGTCTAGAGGATTCCTAGAGAGTCACTGTCTGTAGTCACATTGGAAGGCTGAAGAAGCTGGGTTCCGATGTCAACAGAGGATGGCAGCAGCAGAGCCTGTAACAGAGTAGATGCACCTACCAGCAGAGAGAGAGCACAGACAGGCAAAGGCTTCCCCCCTCTTTCCTCAAGCCTGTTTATATCTGTACTGATGCTGGAAGATGCTGTCCTCTCGGGGAGGATCTTCCATCTTCCTTTATTCCTTCCATGAAATGGCCTCACAGACCTACCTAGGGGTGTGTTTTTTAAGCATGCTAGATTTAATCAAACTGACAATCATGATTAACCATCACAGAATGCATGATGGATTAAATAATTAAGAAATATACAAAGGCAGTATTTCTTTCCAGATTGTTTGATACAATCTCATGTTGGTTCTTGATAAAATACTTGTGATATTAATGATAGCATTTATCTCAATCTCAAATCCCACATAGACCATATTTGATGCTAATAGGATTTCTACTGGAATAATGATGATTAAATAGATACCACTTTAAAAATTATTTTATTTGCCTCGAGGTGGTAGCACATGCCTTTAATCCCAGCACTCAGGACACAGAGGCAGGCGATCTCTGTGAGTTTGAAGCCAGCCTGGTCTACAGAGTGAGTTCCAGGACAGCCAGGGCTACACAGAGAAACAAACCTTGTCTTAAAAAACAAACAAACAAACAAAAAAACCCCAACAAAACAGAACAAAAAAGCTTTAAAATCCCTACTTCAGAGAGCATGTGGCCACTTTCACACACACTAGAATAGTGGCAATTGTACCCATTCTTATTTAAGAAGGTTATACCATGCAGATGTGAGGCTTCACAGCTTACATGAGATGGTAAACAAAATGGCAAAGCACTTGTGAAGCACGAGCAGCAGCATTCCAGGAAGAGATACTCCCTTGTGAGTTTTTAGTAATGGCAACAATGTGACACCACTGTATGCACCAACAGTCCTTCACACTACTTATGAGTACAGACTCAAGGCTAACACTCAGATCAGTAAACTGAGTATGGCCGGCTTGTAATCTCTTCATCCGAAGTTCAAGGTCAATCCTCATCTACCAAGTTTGACCAGCACCTGTCTTAAAACATAATTAAATCTGTGGACTGGAGAGATGGGTCAGTGGTTAAGGGCATTGGCTGCCCCTACAGAGGACCTGGGTTCAGTTCCCAGTATCCAACATAGGTAGCGCACAAGCCTGTTACTCCAGTTCCAAGTGATCTGATGCCCTCTTCTGGACTTTTCAGGAACTGCATGCACTTGGGGCGCTTACAAGCATGCAGGCAAACACTCATACACATAAAATAAAAATAAATAAGGAAAAATTCAATCTGAAAATACTATTACAGGTTTGTTAATTAAATTGTAAGCAGATTATAACACAGGACATGTCAATAATCTTCATTCTTTTTAAAAAAATCTTTATGTGTGTTTGTGTTCATGTATATTAGTGTAGGCACACATGAGCCACCTTGAACATGTGGCAGTCAGAGGTCAACTTTGTGTATCAGTATCTGTCTCCCACTGCTTTTGTGTGCCACTGCATACACCAGGCTACCTGGCCCACGAGCTCTTGGGGTCTTCTTGCGTCTGTCTGCTCCTGGCTCCCTGTAGGAGGACTGCGATTACAGATGTGTGCTTATCACGTCCAGCTATTCTGGAGTCTGGGGATTTGAACAGAGGTTTTCAGAATTGCACGTCAGGTGTTTTACCCACTGAGCTGTCTCCTTAGCCCCGTTTCATTTATAACAGTTGCACAATTCACCACTGGATAAAGTGTCATAAAGTGCATAAAGTGACACTGGATAAAGTGTCAGTCACACCGCTGTTGACTGACATCTGGGAGACCCACAAACTCCAACTTTTATAGACAAGGCTTTATGGTGATCTGTAGCTGGAGGGCTTCTCTCCAGGTTCCCCAAGCCCCGCAGTCCCACAATCCACTTATAAAATAATCACTCAGACGCTTGTATCACTTATAAACTGTATGGCCGTGGCAGGCTTCTTGTTAACTGTTCTTATATCTTAAATTAACCCATTTTTATAAATCTATAGCTTGCCACGTGGCTGGTGGCTTACCGGCTTCTTTACATGCCCTTCTCCTGGTGGTGGCTGCAGTGTCTCTCCCCTCAGCCTTCCGCTTCCCAGAATTCTCCTCTCTCCTTGTCCCACCTACTTCCTGCCTCGTCACTGGCCACCAGTGTTTTATTTATATAGAACAATATCCACAGCAGTGATCATTTACTAAAAACGGATGCTAGTTATTACATTAGTTTTCTACAGCTGCTGTAACAAGTTACCCCAAAGTTGGTAGCTTAAAATAACAAAGGTTTATTTTCTCAAGATAATGGAGATAGAAATTCAAAGTCAGTCTCACTAGACTGAGTTCATAGCAACAGGAGGGTCACATTCCCTTTGGAGAGTCTAGCTCAGTGGTCCTCAACCTATGGGTCATGGACTCTTTGGGGAGTGAATGAACCTTTCACAGGGGTCACATATCAGATATCCTGCATGTCAGATATTTACATTATGAGTCATAACAGTAGCAAAATTATAGTTATGAAGTAGCAATGAAAATAATTTTATGGTTGAAGGTCGCTACAACATGAGGAACTGTATTAAAGGTCACAGCATTAGGAAGGTTGAGAACCACTGTTCTAGCTTGTCCTTTCTTCTTCTGGAGTTCCACAGTTGGTGGCTGCATCTTTCCAATCCCTTCCTCTGACCACATTGCCTCCTCCTTCTCTGGACCAGCTTTCCTGGGCCTCCCTTCTTAGGATGCTCGCAACTATATTTAGAGCCCAGCAGGGAGATCAGGACAAGCTCCTGCCTCATGATCCTGAACTGACCCAGGCTCCTTCGTTGCATATTTCTGTCTGTATACATCTACATGTGAATGTGTGCACATGAGTATTTATTCATTTGCTGTATCTAAGAACACTTTTCCATTCCCAGGTTTCAAAGATAAGGCCTCAAGACTCTTTGGCAAAAATGAATAAATAATCATATAACTTTGTAGGTGTCCAACTTTTGGAGACAATTTTTTTCAGGGTCTAGGTTCTTTGCAGAATTTTTTTTGAGGAGTCTAGGTTCTTCCCCATGACTGGTTCCTTTATTCAGCAGCACCTCCATTGTCCCAAATCAATGCAGTTCCAGCCCACACAAAGTGAAAGCAGTTTTCTGAGGCCCTGGGTGTCACCTTAGGTAACTCGAATGTGACATGCTGTGTTTACCTTTTTTCTAGGGAGGTGCAGCTGCCCTCAGCACGCTTGGTCTGTAGCTGTCTGGTTGATGATCTCGGCCTATGGGAGGGTCCAGGCTGTTTCTTCCCTTGTTTCTCTTGTCAAACGTGAGGATTAGCTCATGTTATCTGCATGGACAGTAGCACCTTCCCTAACACTCACACACCAGGTCCTGGCAATTTTAACAGAGAGGAAAAGCAAAAATCTTTACAAGCCGTGAATTTCCCACAAAATTCCCAAGTCTAAAGGTTTGTTTTGTACGATAAATAGTTCTTACCTACTTATCAGCTGTGCTGTCTTGGCCTGGGCATGGAAGAAGGAATCACCCATTCGAATTCCACGTTGTAGGCTGGCTGCAATCAGCTCTCTGCTTTCTTTGGTCTTTCAGGATTGCTAGCGGGAAGCTCAATGGCAAACGCATTGAAGGACATTGCCGGGTGCAGCCTCAGGGTAGGCTCAGGCTTTCTCCACAAATCCAACACCATCTCGGCAGCAGCTTTCTGCATTTCTTCACTTCTCAACTCCATGAGGCTCAAGGTAAAGCTCCTGTGACTTGACATTGTACGGGCAAGGACTCACCTCCTGGATCTCCCACCGACAGAGACAGAGTTACCGAATCTGATAAACTGGTGACGGGGCACAATCAAGAATGCCTGTTGTTGTCTTGAGGACTCCGGGAGACGGTGGTTGTCACGGAGCAGTATGGCTGGCACATGGGCACGGTTCACTTTCACTTCAGCTCTTCCTCTGGATTCTCTCAAGCTCAGAGTTCTCCTCTTGGACCGTGCATATATGGCACATTACACATATGAATCATACTTCTGCTTATTAAACCAGACATTATAGATCAATATTTATATTCAATCCATCTCAAAAGCTTTTTTGTTCCACAAAAAAACTTTTCATTTTTTTAAAATTGAAAGTAGACTTTCTTTTCATATAAAATATTCTGGTTATGGTTTCCCCTCATCCAACTCCTTCCAGATTCCCCTCCCCTCAAGCCGCTTCAAATGCTTTTTTTCCTTTAAGTTTTTTTTTCTTTTTTTAGATTTATTTCATGTGTGTGTCTTGCCTGTATTTATGCATGTGTACTACGTATGCGCCTGGTACCTGCATAGGTCAGAAGAGCGCATCTGATCCCCTGGAACTGGAGTTACAGATGGTTGTGAGCCACCACGTGGGTGCTGGAAATGGAGACCAGGTCCCCTGCAAGAGCAGCAGTGTTCTTAGCTACTGGGTCACCTCTCCAACTCCACTAATCCATTTTTTTAAAGACATAAAATGTAGAAGCAGATCCATTTGTATTCTTGATCAATCTTGCCCCTGTCTCTCAAACACAATTTTGAAAATGTTGGAAAATTTTTAAATAGCTTGCTACATATTTTTTTGCTGCAAAATTAATATATACATATATATTGTTTTTAAAATGTATAAGAACTGCTATTACGCTGTGCATGTCCTTTTCTGTTCTGATATTTGGATGGAATCAATAATCTATCTTAGAGATTTACAAATCTAGTTCACTTATTTTATATGTAATAAAATACTTCATTGAATAAAAATTGATGTTTATTAATTTTTCTATTAATGAACAACTAAATCTAGTCTTACAATGACTCCAAAATGACCATTTCTAAATTAATTAATTTTATTTTATGTGTATGGATGTTTTGACTGAACATCTGTTTACTGTATATGTACAGTGCCCACGGAGGCCAGAAGAGGGGGTTGGATCCCCCAGAGACAGAGTTACAGGCAGCTGTGAGCTGTCATGTGGGTGCTGGGAACCGAACCCGGATCCTCTGTAAGAGCAGCAAGTGCTCTTGGCTGCTGAGCTGTCTCTCCGTGCTCTGAAAGGAGTATTCGTGTATGAGTTTCCTCGTTGTTGCTGTTATTTTAAACAAATACTTCAAGCAGCTGCTGAGATGGCCCAGCAGGGAAATGGGTTTGGTGCCAAACCTGACGGCCTGAGTTCGAGCTCTGGTGGAAGGAGAGGGAACCCACTAATACAAGTCGTCTTCTGACCTCCACTCGTGTGCCCTGGCACATGCAGGCTGCCTGCTCCAAGAAATAAATAATTGTGAAAAAGTTAAAAATACTTCACAGATGAACTGTTTGGGCACATATGAAAGAATTATATCACCTACTATCAATTTGCCTGCATATTTTTTTTTATCAGTATGTGTTAACCATACAAAGTGTAGGATTTCAGGATAGCATTTCATCACGTACACGTAACCCGCTTTAATAATATTATCTTTACTCTGCATTATCCCCTCCTTCCTTCCCAATCCCTTTCTACACCCCAGTGTTTCTCCTTTTCCTTTTTGTCTGAACTCCCATCCCCCACTGAAAATAAATAATATTTGTCTTCCTGAGCTGGCTCATTTCATTTAATATGGTCTTCTCCGTTTCTACCCACTTCCCTTTAGATGCCAGGGTTCCAGTTTTCTTTATGGCTGAGCAAAGCTCCATTGAGTAATTGTCTGTCAGTGGACATCTGTGATGGTTTGAAAGAGAATGTCCCCCACGGGCTCATGTGTTTGAACACTTGGTCCCCAGTGGGTGGTGCTGTGTTGGGAGGATACGGAACCTTCAGGAGATGGAGTCCTATTGGAGGAAATTCATCACTGGGGGTGGGCTTTGAGAGTTTATAACCTCACCCCACTTCCGTCTCACTCTCTCTGTTTCCTTCCTGTGAAGAGAGATGTGATCTCTCAGCTTCCGGGTCCAGCCACCTGCTGCCATGCCTCCCCACCAAGGACTCTCTCTCTCTCTCTCTGGAACCCTAAGCTAAAACAAGCCTATTTCTCCTCTACGTTTATTTTGGTCATGGTGTTTTATCACAGGAACGGAAAAAGAATACAGCATCTACTTAGAGCTCCTGCTCAGTCAAAGAAGCAGTTGCTAGATAGCCATGGTCTGCTAAATATTCACCCAACAGGGGAGTTATCTGGAATATATGTGAAGAGCTAAAAAACTTGAACCATGTAAGTGCGGTAATCCAACAAGTGAGCAATGGATACAGACTTCAACTTGAGAAATACAAATGCCTGATAACTATATGAAAAAATGTCCAGCATCCTTAGCCACCTGGGAAGTACAAGTCCAAGCTGCATGGAGAGTCCATCTCAGGAAGACAAAGAGCCACACGTGCAAGGTGCTGCAGGGTGGGGGAGGAACCCTTGAACACTGCTGGTCGGAATGTAAATTAGTGCAGCTACAGTGAGAATCAGCAGAGGCTTCCTCAAAGCACTGTGATCAGAACTACCATGTGATCCAGCCACACCATGGGCTGTACCCTGGAAGGAATCAGTTTGCTACAGAGATGACTGACAGCATCATGCTCACCAAGGCACTGTTCATATTGCTCCCAATAGCCAAGCTATGATATCAATTTATGATAAAATTTTACTGTATCTCCACTGTCATCATTTCTGGGAATGATCGGAGAATATGAATGACCCTTTTTTTCACATCATCACCAACACTGAATAATCTGATTCATGCTTGTGTTTGCTGATCTGGTAGATTATATTCTTGGTCATGTGTCTGGCGAGTAGGGGACTGGCGTCTGTCTTTCCTTTTGTTTGTCAGTCATCTATTGGCTCTGCTCCTTGCTTATCTGTGCTTGGATTGTTATCGCTCATATATTTTGCAAATATGTTGCCCAATGTACTATTATATTAATTTCTGTGATGGCTTTTACTCTGTAGAACTTTTAATTTCCTGTACATTCAAATGGTTAAATCTATCAAAATTTTAAACTGGAATTGTTAATTTTTTTGTTGTTGAATTTTATTCAATTAAAATTCACGATTGTATGTGCTGTGTAAAAGAACATTAAAGGTTGTAAGTAACAGTCAATTATGGTCTCGGGGGAAACTGAAATTTAGTTTTGGGACAAGATACATAAAATTATGGTCAATAATGCAAGCTGTCCACGATGAGTGTCAAATACTTGGCACAGAACTAGGTGATTTCATGTTGGCTGCCAGGAAACAGAGAGCAGAGCGCACCAGTGGACACTGCATCAGTGGATGCTGCATCAGTGGATGCTGCATCAGTGACGGGATCGGTGAGATGACTCACCGCAAGGCAGGACGTCGGGGCTGGACCAGCCTGAAGAGCCATCCAATCCTGTCTCTGCACATGGAATAAACAGTCTGGTTTTTACATGGACTGCACCCATGTCCTGCTCTCACACCCAGCTGCTCTGTCACAGCCACCAAAGGTGACCCAAGGTGACCCAGAGTACCTCATGCTACGCTCAGGTTCTTCCACTGTGTCCTCAGCACTGAGAGCAGCTGTCACCCCACCTACCGTAGTTCCACTGAACCCGCTAATGGCAACACCAGAGCCCCATTGCTGTGGATGGGGCCCTGGGGTGTCAAGGTAATGAAGGGTGAGGGACCTGCCTGGGGTACCCCTCTGCTCCTACTCTTTCTCCCTGCTTGAGGCTAGGTCTTGTCTTAAGAGAATGAGTTTTCTATGTGGAGGTTTTTTCTTTGATTTGGAAACTCGGTATTTGTTGGAATTCTAATTTCCTTTCTTTATTTCAGATAGCTGTAGAGCAATTGCTTCTTACTTGTATAGGTCCTTGTCATTTGTCATTTTCCCATGATAACCACTTCCAAAGCCCAGGACCTCAGGGTGCTCCTCCCTAAGAGTGAGGACAGGAAGTCAGGCACCTTCATCTCTAACCCCAACACTCAAGAGGCTGAGGCAGGAGGATTGCTGGGTGTTTGAGGGCAGCCTAATTTATAGAGTGAGTTCCAGTCTAGCCTGTGATGCAGAATGAGACCGTCTCAGACAAACACACAGAACCAAATAAAAACAGGAAGTAACAGAAGGGTCTGTGAAGTGGTGGGACTGCTCTGCAGTTCTAAGGACACCTTCTCCATCCTCTTTGCCTTCTTTTATTTTGAAATAACTGTAGAGTGCAGTAAATTCTAACAACAGTGGAGAGAAAGCCCACGGACCTACAGTGATCTACAGCTTCCCCCTCCAGTGATCGTTTACCTTGATGAAATGAGAGCCTTGATTGGCTTGAAACCATCAAATGCCTGTAGCTGCCATTCCTGTTCTGTAGTCTTCACACACGGGCGCACACGCCGGAGCCCCGTGCAGCGGTGACATCGTTCTCCTCTGTCCTCCAGCAGCCATCCAGTTACCCCTGTCCTCCATCTCTGCAATGTTCCCATCGTCTATGGCAGTGGTTCTCAACCTGTGGGGCGTGACCCTCTAAAGGACATTTGGGCAATTTGCAGGTTTTGCATATAACAAAGCCGCTCAAATTGTGCAAGTGGATGGGCAAGTTCAAAGCAGTAACAGTCGCACAGATGCTACTCAGAGTGACAGCCTCTCTCCTCCTCCCCACAGCAGACAGCCTCTCCTCCCCACAGTGGGGTCTTCACTGTCTCTGTTATCAGTTCTGTTCTGTCACCTACTCCAGAGGTCACATTCACACAGTGCTCGTCTGAGATCCACCAACAACTCTCAGACTTATATTTGGAAACCAAGTATGCTGGTCTTTTCTTTAGAAATCACCTTGCTGAAAATTCTAGTGCAATGAGTTACCATTTGCCAAATTCTTTCTCGTCTGAGGCCATTGGGCATCTCCACCCACTTTTCTTCTTTCTTTTCTTTTATTTGAGACAGGGTCTTCTAGATAGCCTTGGCTATCAGACAGGAGCAGGAACTCGCCATGTAGACCAGGCTGGCCTCAAAACTCACAGAAATCTGTCTACCTTTACCTCCTGAGTGCTGAAATGAAAGACGTGCATCACCGTGCCCCATTACTAGAAAAAAAAAAAAAGCCTTACTATTATTACTTTTTTGACAGCCTTATTGTTAGATTATTCCTTCGCTACAGCCCCAAGAGAGCTCTGTAAGAGTTTGCTTTGCCATGCTCTCCACTGTTCCCTAGTTTTTAGTTTTAGAGATGGGTTCTCCCCAAAGCAAATGTTGAGGTAATAAATAAAGTCGAGCCGATAAGGAGAGGTGGAAGGAAGCCCTTTCTGACTCTGGTTTATACTTTGCTAATGTCTTATATTGACAACAACACCTCTCTCGGGGACCGTTGGAGACTCAAGTGACTGTCCGTGTGAATACACTTTGCAAGGCAGTACCGTGATGCCTGTGTCCAAAGGGGTTTCTTCTCGGTCACATTTTTCTTCTCTCTTCTCTCTCTCCTCTCCCTCCTTTATGGGTAACTCATCATGACCACTGTGGGGATCATCTCCACCCTTGGAAGGTAGAAGGCATCCAGGCAATTGTCAAGGGTGAAATCATGGCATTCTTGTGGCATTCCACCCAGTAGAGGGCGACAGCTCCTACCTGCTGAGTCCAACGTCTTGACTGCTAGTCGAGATACACATGGCAACTGACAGTCTGTTTGTTTTCCAAGGAAACACACATGCCCACGGCAGGCCCTTAGCAGTCTCCCGTTGTTCTTCTTTGATACATTGTGTTGTTGCAGCTCAAGCCCCTTCTGGAAGTCTAGCTGTTAAAAAGTGTATTACTTTGTTGAGTAGGATTTGGGTTCTTATTTTCCTGCTTGGCTGAGCAAGCTTCAGACTTCAAGACTGATGACCTGCTTCTGAGGCAACACCCACATTGTAGCTGGACATTGTGCATTCATAGAGGACTGGAACAGTTCTTGAAAGTGGCTGACCTGCTGGGCCAGCCTGGGACAGCTGAGGAGCATCCTTTCACTAGGGCAGGGATGCCAGCCAGTCCAGACACCTATTCTAGAGTGAGGCACTCCTGCTTCCCCTGAAAATAAGGAAGGGGGGAACTGACTATTTCTATTAGTGATAACTGTTAGGGATTAGGGAAGCATTAGCAAGCTTCTGACCAGCCACCAGCCTTGCCAGCATTTCCTGGATTTGTCAGTACTGGTCGGGACAGAATGGGATGTGGTGGATTAAGACGAGAGAGAGATCTTCAGTATTGAAAGTCACCCTGTCTTCACTCTTATTTGAGAAAGAAGATCAGAGAAACAAAAGACCTTGTCTGGCTTGCTTTATTGGTGACCACACACAC